TACTTACCTTACCGTAAAAATCCGCGCGGAAACAATACTAAAAGAAAACCACAAGAAATCTGCCCAGTGGCGGGCATTGTAACACCAATTCCTTTATTCTTTGTCAGTTGCCTTCGCGGGTAAAATATAAACCGTGAATATCGCCTAAGCACTAGCAATGCCAGTAAACTTCAGCCGTTACTCCACAGGGCTCCATTTCAGTGGGTTTTGTTCCCATAAATGTTCAGCTCCACAGGGGTCTTTAAGAGCCGTTGTTCGCGTCCCCTTTAGTGGACACTTGCCCTAATCCGGCGAGTGTTCTCTGGAGTGCAACTGAGAACTATCGACGCCGGAGCGCCGACAGCTTGATAGATACTCCGCCGTTAAGCACTCATTCTGCCCGAATCGAAAACGGAATAGAATCCTTATTGTGCTCGACTGTGCAAAAAAATAACCAAATAAGTAATGCAGTTGTTTGCAGTTCTCGTGATGGAATTTCCTTCCTACTTAAGTAATCCCAACACGGTTGCTTTAAAAACATTGTTTAACTTATTATAGCAAACTTGATAATCCTCAAATATGAGCTATCAATCCTCTAATCCTTTTATTATTAGTTACTTATCTAGAACTAGCACATAATTATTACTAACCTGTAAGTAAGTACACACAGTAAGACTACCGATAAAATGAAGAATCATAATTATATTTCGGTTGGTAGAAGAAATACCTAATTTCTTTGTTTCGGCACTAAAAATAAACGTTTTTAAATATAAATTAAGAATGTTTCGTAAAACTTTCCATTCATTAAGATTTGTGTTTTGGCCTGAAGGTATTTTTCTTGTCGTCAACAGGACACAATAGTAAGATTAGTTAGCAACATAATTCTCGAGGCAGACCGGAGTGGTCCAGAAGTGTTGAGTGTTCAGCATTTTTCAACTGTAATCGCAAACTACTGCTCGTTTATAAAATCCGCTATCGACCACAGCGCTTAGTGCTTCAGAGCATAAAAACGAACATTATTTTTTGAAACGTGACTTCGAGTAGAGAAGCTTTGTGATTGGAATGAAAAGGAATCGCCCTGGTTTACTGAAACCTATCTCAGTACAAACGAGATCCTCTACTTGACCTACCTAATGCTTGTAATGTGTCTGGCGATATATTTCAGGGTCAAATAATGTTTATAATAAATGACGATGGTTTGAAATGTATCACTGTATGTACGAGTACGATACTATTATTAAATGAACAAAACACCCAAACCTCTATTTCAGTGCTGAAATATTTAATGGTCTGTAACAAAATATTTCTGGGAGTTCATTTATTTTTGTAACATCAGCTTTTCACAGCTCATCGCTTTCCAGCCTCCGTGCGAAGTAACGAAACTAATTATCCTTTGAAATCAAAGCAGGAAACGTATCGTGGAACGAAACGCAATTACAACTGTCCAACCGCCCGAGGCCGGAACAACCTGCAACCGCTTACGCGCCCAACACAAACACGCGCACTTCCGGCGCTACGGTCACCAGATTCCAGCTCTCATCCGGGTCTATGAAGACCTATTTTACATACTAGCTTTTGGCTGAGGCTTTGCCTGCGTGAAGTGCGTTAGGCTTACTCTGTCACAGAAATACCTATAGCCTTTTTCACTCTAGAATAATGCCTATGAATATTTAAGCCCTTTAGTGGTGGAGTTTAAGAAAACTTAAAAACACGTGCTTTTGTATCAAACCCTTTCGTATTCCTAGTCCTAGTTCCTAGCTTTCTGGGTCTAAGAGAGTTTAGCCTAGGTGTTATTAAGTCAGTAGGTAGGCCTACTCTTTTTATTTATTAGGTACAATACGATAAGACTCTTAATTAGCAGTAAGAGTCGATACTTGCATACGACAACCATTTGGCTACGGAAAACTAAAAACGAATGTCGAAAAGTTTGAGTCTAATCACAGAATCGCGATGATGAATAAGGATCTTCAATTGAATCTTTATTACCGTCTATTCAAGCTACAGCGCCATCGATTTTAGCTCCTGTACGAAACATACGAGTCTCGTACATTATGTAGATATTCACGTTGAGTGAGTTTCCGAATGGCTCATAATGATTGTAAAATATAAATAGCCAACTCAACACAGGGAAGCCGGACGGTCGGGTCGCATGAAGGAACAAATAGGGTATTGTGTCGCTGTTTATGTACGTTTGCTTTGAATAGGGCGAAACGAGAATTTCGACCTGCATGTAAATTGTACGGCTTTATGTGTGTGTTTATTAATTCTGAATATTCTTTACGGGCAACATGATGGGTATGAATATGAATTATTTGAAGGAAAGCAGTAAAAGTAATAGCTTTATATGATTGAAGAGTATTTTGGTGGTCCATCGTTGAAGTCTACACTTCTGTAACCTCGAGTATCAACATCAAAACACTTATTGATAGTGTCTAGTCTGGTTAGGAGAACTAAAAGTAAATTATTTTCTTCATACAGTTGTATGGCTGCCCAAATGAGACCCAGTGTGGCAATATAAAGAAGAGATGTAAGAAGATGAAGAAAACTAAAAGAATAAAGAAGATATAATAAGCAAATACTAACGAACGATGACTCACTCTTTGTATTTATTCCCAAGACAAATTAATATACCCCAGACAACACTCCATTAGGCAACCTTACTCAAAGTTAATTTTAGTTGGCACGACTTAAGAGGACTCTAGCGCGGCCATTCAGTTTATATTATACGGGATAGAATTTTGTAATGCCACCTGGAGGGAAAGTACTCTTAATACTGTAGATACGGGACTATTCCCACCTCTCGTTCCCACTACTGCAACTCCTGTGTAGCCAGGATCTTCAGCTCGACCGCCAAATAAAACCGACCGACAGTTCGTTCGTTTCAGCCGAAAGATGTCCACGCTGGACAAAGGCCTCCCCCAAGGATTTCCACAAAGACCGGCCCTACGCCGCTCACATCCAGGCACCTCCCGCGACCTTCACCAGATCGTCGGTCCACCTAGTGGGAGGCCTGCAAACGCTACGTCTTCCGGCTCGTGGTCGCCACTCAAGAACTTTCCTGCCCCAGCGGCCATCAGCTCTCCGAGCTATGTGACCCGCCCACTGCCATTTGATTTTAGCGATTCTGCGGCTATGTCAGTCACTGTGGATGACTCGACCGACAGTAAAGATAGAAAATTTTATTCAAAGAAAACATCTCTTTATTTTTGTGAACTGAGAACTGCATAAAAGATTTTCGAGATTTTTCGCTACCAACCGCGCGATGTGGAAATCATTGGGGGAGGCGTTTGTTCAGCAATGGACATCCTGTGGCTGTAATGATGATGATGAATATATAGACCATATCCAATCTGAAGACATATTTAATTTATTCTCATCACATTAACTCTCTTCTATTACCAATTTGTAGGTGCACCCGTGATACTAAAAATATAATCATTATTATTTCGTTAAAGGTATTCCTGTTTATAACCCATAAAAAGCGATACCTTTATTACTCTAGTTATGTAATCTACTTACCTGAAATTGCCTCCATATAAGCGTCGAGCTATAACAGTATTCGTATTCAAAAAATTAATGAGATACTGAAATTAGTTTAAAATCTGCTTAGCTAAACAAAGGCTTGATAAGGAGGCACTACACTAAAGCCACTTTCTTCCTCCGTAAGCTTGTTATACATTTTACTATATTATAATTGTAATGAAGAGTAGAATTTAATCTCGTATATACATATTCTAAATAATTAGAAAGAAAGAAAAATATTTATTTGGTACTAAATGATACACATTGAATAAAATAAATAAATTAAATAATTAAATTATATAATAATTATTAAATGATTGTCCTCAGACATAATATTCAATAAATGTGTCATAATGGCACAGCTAATTTCAATAGCTGAGATAACAAGCAAATTACGAACAATACCTACCTACCTAATTTAACTTTAAGAATATTGAAAAGTGAAACAGCACACACAAGGATGAAAGTAAACAAAATAGTATTTTATAGTCATACTTTATTTAAATCACAACAACATTAAATTAAACATAGTTTAATCGATCGTGATTGGTGGTAATTGACTCTACCTACGAATGAAGATGTGCGGTCGTCTCACTGAACACATTCTTATTATGCACGTCAGTATGTTCCGTTTTAAAAACTACCAAAATAACGCATCGTGAAAGCACCCCCCTTATTTTTTAATTATTTCTATTTATCAGCAACAGTAAAATTTTGTTAGAGTATTGGAAGTACTAAGATATCGCTATTTTTAAGTAAGTTTATCCATAACTTAGTGATGAGAAAAAGTGCTGTATAGTCTTGATTCGCTTATCTTAATGGTGAGTATTTATTTCTAATTAAAGAAGACGCGAACCAGCAGGGTTTTGCTATGGTGTAAAAGGTATCTAAAAGGATTTAAACTCCAAAAGATGACTATAATATCAATGTAGTCCGCCTACTCCATTGAGGCTTCGAGTTTAATATTAAATGGGACCGTACTTTGTACAACTTTGTATTTTAACTCTAATTAAACGACAAATTCCAAATCTACAGTGGAACGAATGCTATTCAACTTATCTAAAAGAGCCTACGGTGATTTTGCAACCGTATGACTACCTACTTCGCTCTAAATTGAACACCGTTTTCGTCGCCTGTTAAATAAAACTGTCTATCTGTATTTACAACGCTACGTTTGGCACGTAGTTTCAGTATCACAAATTCACGTGAAAATACGAACTGAAAAGGCAATACACGATGTAATGGAGTGACTAATAAAGGAAATTGATAGCTTAAGCTGAATTCGGATATAAGACAAGTTCCTCTAAATTGGTTTGAAATTAACTTCTGAAAGTATTAAAACTTAATACTCTAATTGGATTACAAAACGTTCTTACTTGATCCCAATAGGTAATCACTACTAATTCATTTAAATTCACTGGGAATGTTGATACATAATATAATTTATAAATCTCTTATCATATTTGTTTTCTTTCAAAATGAAACATAAAGGTAGGTTTTTACGCTACGAAGTACATTAATATGGGTGCGCCAATCAGGAGAGTGGCGGTTAAAGGAGGCGCTTTATTTTCGTTTGCTGGGAGGTAGGAGCTGGGCGCCGCCGGGGCCGAGGCGGGCTGTCGCTGGGACCTCGTCTCCTCGTAGGAGCCGCTGCCTTCTGACGCGTCCTCGTCGTCATCGGAGAGAGCAGTAGGCTCATGCTTAAAAGCTTCTGCGCGCGGTAGATTCACTTCCACAGGATGCGATATGGTCGTGCGTGTGTGTGCTGCAGTGCTCACAGTTGTCGGGTTTGTCACGTTATGTTTGGGCGCTTCTGTGGTCTTTACTACTTCAACCGTTATTGTCTTGTAGAGCTTATCTTCAGTCACATTGGCGAATGAGTGCGATTTGAAGAACATGTCCGTATAATCAGATGAGTTGTTGTTTGTGACGTTAGACTTCGAGAACTCAAGCAGTTGGTTCTGTAGTTCTTTGGAGAATGCAGAGTTGCACAGGTCATCTGCGCATACACATGTCAATATGAATGTGCCTGAGGAACGTGTCAAGGAGCACGGTGTCTTCGAGGCAGCGGCGCAATGAAGCGACGACGAGTAATCTGTGGAATAAAATATTGTTTTAATTAAATGTTGAGAACATACATACATGTGTCAATAACTTTTAGTTACTTATGTCGTCATAAAGATGTCACATTAGGGTCTGATATACATGCTAGCAAGATGGTTGTTAGTATTCAGTGTGACACCGGAAATAGTCCATATCGCGGTTATCAGGGCATTATAAATCTTGTTCGCACGCCGTGGTTGGGGTTGTGACATTAATATTATTAGAGCATTACGAGTACCTGCGTGTGTAGGTCTAATGATTTTGAATAACATCATAGTTGATGACAGCAGTCACTGAGTATTAAACTTATGACTCATTTCAGCAGTATAATTATAATAGTGGATAATATTTCTAGAATAATAAGTTGTACGAACTTGGTACGACAGCTGAGGTAGCGCACAGCGGGCGGTCGCCGGGGCATTCCACCGTGGCGTGGCAGGCGGTGCCGTTGGCGGCGCAGTGGTAGCAGCGGCGTAGCGCTGCATCTAAAACAAAAACATTACAACACAAAATACACGTAGCTTCTAACCTCGGATCATCCCAGTTTCCTTTAGTCAACACATTAATAATAAATGTGTTCCTCATAATTAGCCATATCCAAATAAACAAGCCGAGGAGAAAACAGAAATTGTGGAAGTGTGTGGCTGCGGCCAACCAAATACATGAATAATGAAATGGAGAATCCGAGAGTTCCCAAGGCGGTTCCCTACGAAAACATAATTATAGTTACACAGCGTCATGTAATTACAAAGATAGGAGGATCCTTAAAGTTTATTCAGTAGACGGGGATAGAATAAACATGATATATTATGTATTAGTTAAGTAATTGCTTACAGGCCCGGCGTGAGTCGGAAGCGCTGCTTTGACACAGCACTTGTCAGACAAACAGAGTTGTTTTTGCGCCGCGGTGTGAACCCTTCCTAACTTCCAACAACTCGCCAACTTCGCAGCTATCAGACGTATGTTCGTGAGAGCTCGTGGCTTCCTTAATATCTCTCATTGTCCCGCGCCACCTTTGTTTGTGCTTCGGAATTAAACTTAACGAGCTAGACGGGCGCAAACTTATGGAATAATGTTTATAGCTCTACCAAACGAAAAGTTTTGTTTAACAAGCCTTTACTCTCGCACGTGACTGAGTTCGTATCAATATAATAGTAGACAACCAAAGAATCAGCAGCTTTCATTATTATAAACATCAATCATCTTTTGAAATAAAACATAACGAGAAAAATACATTTTTATCTATTCACAGTAAATCACGTATTTTATAGCCTAAGTAGATTATACCTTTGCGCCAATGAAATAAAATTGCCTCAATAAAACTTAACGGCGTATCGCCATTCCGCAAAACCTCTTTCCATATCATTAGCTAAATTGGAGGTAAATACAATTTGGGAATATTAACACACTCTCGGCACTGGAGGCATTTTACACAATGGTCTAGACAATTAGTGGATTTAACAAGTTTGGAAAGTTCCAAAACTACTCGGTTTCAAAGAGATTTGACAGTTAATCCCCCAATTTAACCAAATTTAAATCCTTCCACTCCATTAAAATGCCTGTAAAAGGTATTTTAAGATAATATCCGATTTCAATCAACCTACAACACTGTGAGAAAGTTAAGGCCTTTGTCCAGTAGTGGATTTATAGCTGAAACCACAGAATAACAAGTAGGTATCTACTAAACGAACGAACTGTAAGAAAATAAGTTTTTCCATAGATAAAATTTAAGTATGCAATATTGTAATAAGTAATATCCTGAAATATCAAATATATTTACTTTATTTTTTACAATCTACTCGTACCTACCTCTGAAGATAAGGTCGAATATTGTTTTTCGTATTAAGTTATAAAACAATTGCAATAGGAAAAGTTTTATCAACACAAAAGCCGTACCATGCTATCATGAAATAAGTATACCTATAGATGCTTTCTACCATCAAAATAAATTCAGGCGGGATGCGATTGAACAAAGAAACACTTGTCATAAATAATGATCGCCGAAAGAGTCTGTAAACCCAACACCATTACAAAGGAAAATAATGAGTAGAATTTGTGATTTTGTAAACATCATAAAAAATATTTGGAAGCAAAAATACAATTTTTTTGTACAAATCTATTCTGTTGGCAGGTTTTGAAAAGCACGGTCGACCTCGAATACTTGAAATACAACTCATTGGTTACACTCGCAAACTTTTAGTATGCAATGTTGGGAATATTTGTATTTTTGCGCGTAATATTTGCGCCATTTGTACGTTACCAGGTGACGTGTACCTAGTAGTGTCAGTTCTTTTTTTACTCAAAAATGACCTAACAAAATCATGTTAGAAATATTACATCGCGTCCAATCACTTTTTTCTCTGATATTGCACCGGGTGAGAACGGGGTTGAGGCCACATATTTCAAGCCCTACGCAGCATTTTTGCACCCTTCTGAAATGTAAGGGCCGCCAGTGAAACAAGGAGGCTTTCTCCTTTATTAATCTCCAGAAATGCCTGTTCTATCAGACATTTTCAAAGAAACTGAAGCTCCTTCAAGCAGCTCACATTTTGAGAAAACTTCTTCGAATATCACTGTTAGATAATTATGAAATTAAAAGAAAACATGCCATAGTTTTCTTTTATAAAAAATATCTCAATACCCAAATACAAACTGGTAGGATTTTAACTAAAGACCACTTGAATAAAATATGAAAAATAATAATAAAGGTATCTCACTCAAATCAAGTTATCCTTATGTAAAGTAAATGATAGACAATTAGGTATTTACTAGTTTACTACTTTTGCGTGTTTCTACTTTTGCAGAACTTACAGGTAATGGACAAGTAAGTACATTAAAGTGAATAAAAGAAAACATGTTCATTGTTTACTTTTGTACACGTTCCAGTTCCAGCATGTGTTTTATACTTTTTCAGGCGTGTGAAACGTGGCCTTTAAGGCTCTGGCAATAAGAACTGCACAAGAGCACTCGGTGATCCTGTATATTACTAGACTTGTCGTCGCTAAGGGATTTCGAACCTCGAACTTTTGTAATAATAATCAGAGTTCCGGCGATATTACTCAACTTCACGGCGGTAGGCACGTTATTAAAAATATTTTTAATACAATTTCGTTTCATGCAGTAGCTATTACGTGAGTTTGCAGGTTTAGTAAGTGCTTCATTTCAACTTCATAATCTACGAGTATTCTATTCCTCTATTATTTAAAACAACTGTCCTTCCTGTAGTGTCTGGAAGAGCTCGCTCCCTATCGATAAGACCGCCTAAATTGTGCTACCTCTTTTGAACTTGTATTTCTTTTATATGTAAGTTTTGTGTGGTTAGTGTGTACTAAAAAGTATCTCTAATAAAGACAAATCGAGACCAGTATCTAATGTCTATGTTTTCTATAGCTATACTATCTATTAGATACAAACTTTGTACAGTGCAAACCACCGGAACATTTTAAATGACTCGTCAAAAAAGCGACCGTAACTGTCGCTCGTTTAACGTACCGTAAGAAAAATAGCGCTCAAAAAGACTAAACGAATGAATGTTGAACAATGGAATCACATTCAGTTGTTCGCTTCCTTGATTACAAATTGTTATAATTGAAGTAAAAGTCCCAAAGGTTTAATGCATTTTACTTAATTGTTAGCACAATTCTTTCGACACATAAAATTGGATTATATTTGTAATAAAAATGTACGGTTTTAGGATTTTATCCTTTATTTGTGCTCTATGATGTTGCTTTTTGCCTTTCATATACCTAGGCCAACAAAAAGTACCCTAAAAAGATTCCTTATGAGAGCCTCTCCTCTTAGGACAAAAATGCATTCTATAGGGATACCTTTTTTACTTTTAAGGTACAAACCGTAAAAATATTCAAATTTCTAATCAATTACGCGAGATTTTATCATTCGTATCAAATAACCAAGATATGAAAACTCAAACATCGGGAGACGGTACTGATCAGAAAATATCGCAAAAATTCTCACGCAGTTCCGAGAACTTCAGATACCAAGCAGTGAAGTGATTGAGAAACCATATTGATCGCGAACCCTGATTATTTTTTCAATAGATGTCATAAAAATATAAATGTGATGTGATTGCCTTATATGTACCTATTATGATATAAAAGTAGGTGGTACTTAGTTGAGCAGGTATTATTTAAAATTGGAGAAAAAAATATTTAACGTTTCTCTTCGTTCTTGTTTATGCAAAAAGTTACCTCAGTTATCTTTCAATACTACCTATGTACAGTCACGGAATGAAAAGGTTCGTCAGTTTTCAAATTGATTCCTTCAACGAATCGCGAGCACATATTACCTTTTGAAACTATGTTACAGAATAATCTCGAGTTAGAGAAAATAATCTTTAACTGTTCGTCAGTAAAGTTCAAAATTATTCGGATCAAAGTTGTTTGACGATTTATCTTGTCAAGAAGATTATTATGATTGATAAACTAAAACCTTCTTGTTGGTTCAACCTGCCATTATTATTTCTATTAAATAAAAAAAACTATTGTCAATTGGTCAATGTCATCATTGCATTGCACTGATGGGATAGAAAAATAAACAAGCAAAACCTTATTTGTTAGCAAACTTCATATTTATTTAAATGTTAGCAGCACTGTTTCTTGCACTGTTATGTTGGCAGGTTTGACTCTTACAGTACCTAGTGCAAGCGAAAACCGACACTAAGGTGACGAACCTTTTCATTCTGCGACTGTACCTACTTAAGTTTACCTCGATAGTTGAAAGAGGGATCTTTAGTTTCAAACTATAACCCCGTATGAAAAAAGTTTTATTATCATGCATCCATAAGGCACTGGGATCAGATTTGGGGGGCAAATGTATAATTGCTACATAATATTTAAAGATGTAAATAAAATAAGTAGTTGATTCTTGCTTTCGTTCGAGCTTTTTCTAACACATGGGGAACATATAGGTATATTATGTCGTTGTTTGTAATTAGGTATAGACATAATTAATTTGAGGTTATTCTAGTTGTATAGTAGGTACCTATAAATACCTACTTATATGTATAGGTTCAATGAGCACCCTTAAAACAACATTTGCCGATCGCAATGTACAGAGTACAAATTAATATGGTTTTCGTAGAAAATCAATTATGTGTAGGCAGTTGTATTTATTTGACTGTAAATAGAACTCTCATTGTAAGTTATCAAACGATATATTCTCCAACTTTTCCCAATATTTATTATACACATGTCAATAAAACATACTGAATAGGTACCTAAATATACGAAAGAACTTAACAGTTTTCCTGGAACTATTTATTTGCTCAAGATGAAGCCTATTTAAGGAGTACTTGTACTTTACTTGTACTTTATTTATTAATGATACAATTTAAACGCAAGGAACACGTAACTAATTAAGACAAGCAAATATTTAATTATTCTTGCCGTGAAATATGTTTATACGCTTACAAACATTAATAATTATTATTTACCATTAATTTAAAGAAAAAATTATTAGGTACAGAAAGAATTGATTTTAGTTCTGATAAAAATTATAAGCTCTCGAACTGCTGAGGCTGAGAGCACCACCTTACTTTAACCGTAACTATAAACTAGTTTTATAACCTGTTTTATGTGTGAAGTTTGACAGACTTTTAACGTTTGTTATTGTTAAAGTAAAGTGTTGCAACCCACCCATTAATGTATCAAGTTCTATTAGTTGTTGAGCAAATACAATCAAAAATAAACTTTTAGGGATGATTAAAAATGTTGTTTGTAGAGCTTAATGTTAGCTTTATTTATAGAAATAATTAGCATGCATCAAAAATTCTCACCTTTTTGTTGTAAGGCTCCAGTGCGGACATCCACTACAAGAATGGCGATTATACTCATGAACCACATCGAAGGAAGCATCATAAGTCTTTTGTATTCACGTTACAGTCCACTATCTACGTTAATAGTAACAATTGTTTCCTGCAATCGTTCAATATTTATTAACGATTAATTAATCAAACAATTCGCTTGTTGCGAAATCATATAAGATATAACCTACGTATTGATTTGCCTGACCTATTTAACTTGAATAAATTAAGACATCAAAAAGCCGCCAACGACGTGGAGGTGTGAACAAAATAAAGGGCTCCCATTGTTTGTGCGCCTTTAATTCGCCACCCGACGTCTGCGCCGTTTTGTCGCCGATATTCCTCGCGTCAAATTTATTCAAATTAACACTGAACTCATAAATTCCGACTCTATCATAATCAAATTTGAATAAATCAACTCCCCTTGCCCCAATTTTAAATGGGAATTACTAATGTCAACACACAAACATTTCCACACACGAAAACTTACTTCAAAAGTCCATTAATAACAATATCAAGCCTCGCTAGTATTTTTAAAAAACTTTTTGCTCTACTTATTACAGTTGTAATAAAGCAAAATTACAGTTTTATTTCGCGCACGTGTTCGTCAAAGCGCGCGTAGTCCTCGTAGCGGCGGCGTCTACACCGTAGCAGCCGCGTCTACGGCGCGTAGCAGACTGCCGTAGCTCGTAGCTCGGCGGATTCCCGAACCCGGCTGGACCGGGATGGTGGCAAATAATTCATTGAATTTATGATGTACCGTTCATATTGCTGCTCGGGAATACCTAGCACTGTACGCGGTGGCATAAATAACGAGCCGTGTATACGTAACACGATTTAGAATCCTCGTCGGCGCCTCGCGCGGTGAGAGTATATCAAGCCGAGAGAAGTCTGCTGTCAGTCAGTGGATTACCTGACTATTGTGTAGATTAATGCGTCTATTGCTTTGTGCTTAATATGGCTCTCATTAATGCTGCATTGTGGAGCGCTGTAAATCTTAAAAGCGCTGGTAATTACGGCAACTATAGAAATCACGGTATTGTAGCCGTTGCGGTATCAATGAGAATTGGTATAATGATTTAGCATACTGCGAAACAGTTGCTAACCTGATTTAAATATACGAACGAGATTAGTTTTTGTGGTGGTAACTTACTTTTGATTTATTACTACTTTTTATTATAGAATCATTGGGAAACATATTGTTGGCTTTTGATCAAGTGCATCGTTAATGACACCTTTAATTTTGAGAAATACATTTTGAAGGTTTGGTTTCTTAAAAAAATGCCTCATATTTATTAAAATGACCAAGATGTTTACGTTATCAGATCAGCGTAAAGAGATGATTACACATAAATACAGACTCATTATCTCTGCAACCCTAGAAACACGTAAACACATACTAAATCTTAATTAGCAAATGCTCAAGTGGTCTAATGTTTACAAAAAAAAGTCACGAGCACAGTCCCCGGGGGGCGGGGCGGCGAGGGGAGTAATTATTTACAAATAAGAATAATGTATTCAGAGAAGAGAAAAGATCGGATTAAATCTTCCGACTCAAGGTATCCAGGGATATTGGTAAAGCTCATCACACACTACTAACGTCAATTCATTATGTAAAAAAAATAATGTATACGGAAATGTTTCCATTTAAAAGAAACGATGAGACACCTATTCAAAATCGCTCGAATTTAATACTCAAATTACGCTCGAACTCCATCTGATCTTAACTTATTCTTACTTCTCAGTAATTAATTTCACGTCATTTACTTTTGTCTTTGTACGTGGAAACTTGGGCAACTTAATTAAACTTCTCAACGGAGAGCATTCGTGTTTTGTTCAGATGAACTAACCTTTAGGAAAAGCGGAAAGCGCATTTGCTGAGAAAAGGGATTTAGAGTGATATGCACTAATTCCTTGGACATCAGAGCATTACTTAGCTTTGCAATTACGAACTGCAGGTGTAAAGGCAGACGGGGGATTCTAATAAATCATTCCTTTGGATGTAGGTTCAATTAGGTGCTGCGAAAACGAGAAAGAGTTTCTTTCACGGTGAAAAAATAACACAGACGATTTTTAGGGTTCCGTATGACAACCATATTTGTTAAAACATTTAATATTATGGGCCATTTTTTTGTATAATCGCATACATGACAGAGTAAGAAAGGCCTCTTACTTATTTATGAAGACACTGAACATGATTGAATGGCACGCATGTTCGCTGTAGAAAGTATAAAACTGGGTTTATTGGAATGTATGTGTCGACATTTTAATTTAATCATAGATTTACACAAGAATTATACTTTATAATTATTCGTATTATGTATCAATCAATTGAAAATGTACGGAACTACCCGCTCGCTTGTATCATTCGCACTCGGCCAGTCTTTTTGTTTACGTGTATACAGACAAAGAGAAGCATGTTTTCAGGGTGCTTTTCTAATGTGTTAATGCATACTTTTGGTATTTGTTTTCTTTTTTTCCGAGCTATATGTATAAGTCTATTTTATACTTACAGCTATACACCTTTGATCATTCGTACCAAACAACTTTCTTTTCAGCAGCTGTTACTTTAAGTTTCTCACTATCAATCAAACCTGATTATGCTTTATTTTGGTATTCTCACCTGGTTTTTATTTAACTCTCAAACTCTCTCTCTCATCTCAAATGCCTAACGGCCCTTCACATTATTTAATTACCGTGAACTTTAGCCGACTATACCTAAGACCGTACCAAGAGTGTAATAACTAAATTTAATGTGTCTAGTCCTGCCACTGGACAAAGGCTCGTTTAACTCCTTGAAGTTACTTACGGTAATATATTAAGGCATTATTGTGTCATACACAACAAACAACTGTAAATCTTGTCCCTGGACCTGTTTCCATTAAGCAGGATAGTTCTTAAGGTAAGGCTTAGCGGTCGACGAGGGATGATGTAGGTGCTTACTTACGGCTACTATCGCGATGCAGAACCACGTAGTGTGTCCTTGCCCTAAGCTGGCGCACAATGTAGGAAGAAAAGCCAGCTCACATTATAAAAAATAACCTTTGTAGCTTGTCTATGGGGTATAAGTTAAGTAAGCTTATGAGCTAACGTAAAGTTCTTGCCAATAGATGAACACGATTTATCACGCTGTGGCCTTTTCAGAATCTTACTAATTTTCAGGTAAAACTGTATTGTATTCAAACAATGCTTTTCTTATCAATAACAGTAAAAAGTCTGAAAACGTACGCCTCCACCCACCTACGTATATCTAAGGAGATAGTTACCTCTGACTGAACATAGAAATATCGTTGCATCTACCTTCATTATGCCAGCTAGTAACAAAACCGCTCACAGGTCTTTCCATCAAGTGAGATGCCAAGAGCTTCCTCGTTGTAGATAAAATAATAATCATTCTATTCAGGTGGGTTTCTTTACTATAACCGATGGTTAATTTAGCTATTTTTCCGGCTGTGGTGGCGCTGCTACGGGCGGGGGAGCCGCCCGACGCATTAATTGGCAATTTCCGCGGCCCACTGCCCGCCGCGATCCGCCGTACATTACTCATCGGCACAGATATCAGATAATGATGTGGCGACGCCACTACAAACTAGTGACCAACAGATGGCGCTGTTACTACTTCACTATGGCACACTCCGCCGCTCATACAAACCTGCATCGCGGTGACGGAGTTTTATATCCTGCCAAGTATATATAGGCAAACCAAGATGGTGTAAATTGGACCTTGGTCCCCGAGCATAACACCCGCTCGGAAGGAAGCACTAACATCTAGCTTCCTTATTGTGGACGAACATCATATCCCACATTGGTGACCCCGACGTGATTGGAACGTGACCTTCCATCACCACCATCTTCGGCATCAGCCTCCGCCATCCTCACCATCTTCGCCACTCCGTCATCAGCTCCAGTCTTCAACAAGCCAGCATCCAGCCTTCAGGGACCATCGCAGATCGCAACCGACCTTCCTGGTTCCTCGGCAGCAAGCAACCGTCACTTCACTGGTCACGGGTACAGCTCTGGCCCAGCTCCACGCCCGACCATCGAAGACGCCTCCGCTCACTATCCCGACTCACCGTGGATAGAGCACCGCAACCTGCTCGTCTCGACTCACCGCAGACTTGAGCACACTGGCACTTGTAAGCTCATCACGCACAGACTGCTGAGCTCGTCCTGACGTCATCCACCTCCGGTTCTTCCGGGGGGAGTGGTGTGGCGACGCCACTACAAACTAGTGACCAACAGATGGCGCTGTTACTACTTCACTATGGCACACTCCGCCGCTCATACAAACCTGCATCGCGGTGACGGAGTTTTATATCCTGCCAAGTATATATAGGCAAACCAAGATGGTGTAAATTGGACCTTGGTCCCCGAGCATAACACCCGCTCGGAAGGAAGCACTAACATCTAGCTTCCTTATTGTGGACGAACATCATATCCCACAATGACGTTGCCAGACTTTGACTAGAGGGGATTGACGATTCGTTATCAACAAGGATTTGATTAACGGTCAATGAATATGTAGATTATATGAGTATACAGGAGAGAATATTTAATACAGCAGGTAAGAGTCGGTGTCACGATAGTAATGTCCAATAAGGTATAATTTGTAATCAGATTTAGAAAATAACGCAAATAAAATTAAAGTCATAGTAGCCGAAGTTATAAAATGATCACTAAAATTAAACTAATGAATCTCATTTCGTCTTAATTGATAAAAAATGCATATTGCTCTTGCACAACAATATGTAAAGTAATTTAATATTTAAATTCTTAGCAGTTTATAACTCTGCAATACGTGGTGCGACACCCGTAAAATATTCGCCTCCTGGGAAGAAACTTCCGGTTTTATTCTGTGGTTCCTATTTGCCGGAATAATTGCACCGGAATGGGCTGGGCGTGAACATTGCATTGGACACTGCTGTGATACAAATTATGGCAGCGACGTATACAGTACTACGACGGATATATTAGAAGTTATACATAGGTACAGATATAATGTTTTAGATTATATAAACGCATACATTATCATCAAAGGGCTCTTGATGATAATGTATGCGTTTATATAATCTAAAACGGTGTGTCTTGTTATTTTCTAGATATTTAAGAGATGACCTCCTGTCCTATCGATGACCATGATTAGGAATGCAGATTGCTAAAAGACCATTATTTTAGTCATAATGTCCGTATGCTAAATTATTTTGTTGTAACAGGATTCTAGATAATAATCCGTCTATTTAAAGACAATCCTACTTGTACGAAGTTGGGACGTGTCATAGGGCGTGTATTACAATGATATATGTATACTCGTATACGCGATTAAAACTGTCAATTGTAGTAAATGATGAATAGTCCCCGAATGACTGATTACTTTGAACTTGGCATGTTAATATAAATAAGGTAGCAATTCTCGTTAAGTACCTACTCAATTTAATATAAATTAATTACATGACATTGATGATAGTACCTACGAGTATCTTGGTGTCATTTATTTCTAATTGTTTTCCATAAATACCTCTAATAGCTACAGTATACTACTAAATATACATGCGATTTCGTGCTTAATAGAAACACAATAAAAATAATAAAGGTTATGACAAAAATAATACGAATCACTAAACATTGATAACAACATAACAAAGCGCCACAGCAAA